GCCAATTGATAAACTGTGAGTTCCTGCCACCAAACCACACCAAGGTTGTTGCAGTTACATTTCTTTATGTCTGGGGAACTCCTATGCCTAGATCTCTCCTTAACTGCTTAAAAGCAGCAGATATGTGGGTGGAGAAAAATCCACTACCCATGAAGGAAGACCTCATTTGGTTGCTCCTGAGCAACCCTTTGGTTCTGCAGGTACAGGCAGTCCCCGGGTTACATGGATCCGACTTACATCAGATCCCTACTTGCAAACGGGGTGAGGCAACCCCGCACTAGCTGCTTCCCCCCAGCAGACCACGGAGACGCGAAGCTAGCGCCTCCCCCAGCAGACCAGGGAGACGTGGAGCAGCTTTTCTCAGCAGACACCTCTGCTTGAGAATAAAGGACTGAGGGAAGTGAGGTGTGGGAGAATAAAACTGAGCTCTGGAGAAATGTTTGGCTAGAGTTTCCCCTACAATAAGTACCAGTTCCGACTTACATACAAATTCAACTTAAGAACAAACCTACAGTCCTTATCTTGTACGTAACCCGGGGACTGCCTGTATTAACTGTTCATGCTTTAAGGATCATTATGCTCCCAGAGATGTCTGCCCTTTCCTTCTACTGACCTGTCATGCAAGTCTATAGTTGTCTGTTGTTCTTCTGTACTAAACAATGAATCCACAGATATAAAACTTTATTTTAACAAATTTGAGCAATGGTTGCGAAAATACGTCCAAGTGGCATGGCATGACAAAGGGGAAAGTAGAGTTTAAAAAGGAATTACCCCGGTGAGGAACTTAATAATAATAATTGGTGATTTATGGGCCATAAAATGTGAGAGGTTAGGACATAAATAAAATGAATCCAGGATTAAAACAGGGGTGGGGAACCTAAGGCCTGAGGGCTAGATCTGGCCCCCAAGGCTCAGGGCCCCCCCCTCAAGCCTTGCAAAGCCTACTAGTGTGGGATCCCTAGGCTCTGGTGTGTGAGGGGAATGTGGAGAGGGTCTTTCTCCTTTTCAGTTAGGGGCCATTTCAGGGAGGGGTTTTTTACAAGTATGCGGCCCCTGACTGATTTTTCTGTGGGTCAGCAGCCCCCGGCAAATAAGGACATTCTAGTTAAATTCGTGGCTCTGGAAAGTGAGGGAATGATTTTTCACGCAGACCTACTACTGCACCTCAGTCATTCTCTGCAACACTTCCATTCTAGGTGTTGGTTTTTCCTGATAGCTAGCTGCCAATCAAAGAAAATTTCTGTCTGCGTATGTGATCAAAATATCCACTAAGAGGGCTAGGTTGAAAATACAAAACTTACTGGGTTTTCCACAAGTGACCATTAGCACAATTTGAAAGGCTAGTGTATGAAACTACTAGACTATCAAGTCCCTCAATATCCCAAATTAAGGTATAGTAAAGGAATATTACTATTACTCCACCAGAGTGTTATAAATATACTAGGCAGCTAGGGTTGCCAGGTGTCAGATATCGGCTCGGTATTGTCCGGAAGGCCACTTGGGACATTGGGACATTCCTCTCCTGCCATGTCTCGTGAGCGGGGTATTTAAAGGCGCAGTGCCTCTTCTTTTTTCTTTTTTTTTATTTGCTCAACCAATTCCTTTCCCACCATGTTCAGTATTTTTTGTGAAAGTATTTGGCAACCCTATAGGCAACTGCATAGCATGGTAAGATATTTCAAAGGTGTCTCCAGGAGCAAATGTAACAGTTACATTCCAGCAAACAGAACCGTACATGCTGGTATATTTTTTTTAAATGTGGAATTTATTCATGAAAAATGTTCTCTTTAAGGTCTTGTGTATTTATAGAACAATCATACATTTTGGTTTTCCATAACCTCTTTTATTCAAGCCCTCGAAATCCATTGTGTAAACATTAATGATGTAAGCCTAGTGTGGTAGCTATTACAATCCCTGTTTCACAGATACAGAAACTAAGACATGGATCAGTTAGTCTCACAGAAAGCGTGTGCCAGGAATGGGAATGGAACCCAGATATTCTAATTTCCAGGCCTGTGATTTAAATACAAGATGATCCTCCCTCAGTCTAGAATATAAATATCATATTTCAGTGATGGAAAAGTTTAAGATAGTAGAGGAACCCCAAAACCACTAAACCTCTTCGCAGGCCACAGAGTATGATGCATGCACTGGGTGGGGGGGATCAGGTCTTGTTCTCAGGGGTATGACTGGAGGTAGGAGAAGCTGGGTCCTGACCCTCTGGGGAGGAGATTCAGGGGGAGAACTGATTACTGTTTTTGGGAGGGGATCTGTAGGGCAATGTAACTTGCACGGAGGGTTGTAATCCTGCAAGTTGTAGAGCCTGTCTCCCAGTTACCCTGAACTGGTGGCTAATATACAGGGCTGGGTCCAGCCCCCTCCTCTAGCCCACTGGGCCCCATCCCAGTATCTCATAATGCCTTTCCTGGCCGTGATGCTGCTGGATTGCCTGTCTGAGCTGGGTTATGACAGGCCAGCTAAAATGTGGATACAGCCCCTGGGAGGCCTGCTGCCCATCCCTGCTCTATGTGACTGTTTGACTAGTGATTATGAGTCTTGACTTGCAGTGTCTCAGTCACAGAACCAGTTAGACAGCTAGATAAAGGCAGGAGCCCCCAAACACCAGCTGCTGCTGAGTGGAAACAGATAGATAAACTGCAGCTTATCATTTATTAATCAGAGAGACCTAGGATGAGAGGCTGCTGAAAGATGATTAATATCTCCAATGGGAATTCTTCATAAGAGCAAAGCATTGTGTGACGTCTTTATTCTCCTGCGGGGCCAATGCAAGAAATATAAGGAATTATGAAGCCTCAATGATAGATTAAATGTTTGTGATTGAAGGACCCTGGTGATGGCATAAATGCATTGAACAGAGGCCCATTAGTTTGTGTATGCCCTCAGAACACCATAATGGGATTCCAGCCATAATGCAAATCTCCATTGATCAAATGCATAGTTTTAAAAGAATCATCCCAAGTCTTTTGTATCTCACTCTATGCTGCGGTGTTTTGTCATTATGTCCCATCTCCTGTTCCCATACAGTTCTGATCTTCACTGTTTGCATAACTTTCTTGTTATTTTTGTGTTGAATATTGCACCATGAATGTACATAGTGCACTTGAGACAATGTGAGTGCAAGGTCCCTGCCCACATGGAGCTATTTATCTGAAAGTTTTGTAAGCCATTTACATTGAAAAGGAACAGAGTGAGATTTACATTAGGTATCTTTTCTATCATTTTCTTATTATGCCATGATGCACTGAGCAGTAATATTCATGGAAATATGAAATACACACTTGTTCTAAGCCTGTTACAGGCTTCCATGTATTATAAAGCTTTTGTATCCTTGCCAATTGTTATATGGAGGAAGTCTCTCTGTGACTGTGACAAGATTCTTCACTCTTCTCCACCTTGTGTAACAGTTGCATTCAGTTTGTTCTGATGAGGTGTAAAACTTTCACCAGTGATAGTACGGGTGGAGAATTTTGATTTGGTAGCACAGATTAAAACATGGACACAAGGTTCAAGCAATGGAGAATATGACCCAGTGTCTTTTCATAGAGGAAAGGTATCATGGTGAATTGTTTGTGAATGTCCTGTCTCGGTAGCTCTTCATAAGTGGCATGCAAGAAAACCCAACCAGTCCACTGACAGGGAGAACAGGCCTCGACAGATAGTCTATCTAATCCAAACTAATGAAAGTGAGAACGTTCTGATAGGAAACAGAAACCCCACAAAATTCCACCCAAATCTTGCAAGAACATCCTAATAAAACCCCATGGATCCATAAGATCCTCTGGATTCTTGCACAATCCATCTAATGTCTATGAAATTCATATCAAATGGAGAAGGACTTGTTACATTCTGAACCCTTATCCTAGGCATTGAAGAATTGGTTCTTGCAACAGATTCCCAAGTGCTTTGTCCAGCCTTGTCAGAAATGACTCAGGCAACTAAGTTTCTGCCACTCTCAAGGGGAGACTACTCTCCAGTCTGTGCTCCGGTAATAAATCCTATAAATCTCAGAGATCCTTCAGATTTCTATTAAAATAAAATGTTACAAATCCCCAGAAGCTCAGCTACTCTGGAAATGGGCATGACAAAAAGCCTAGATAGGTATGATTCCATATATTTGATTAGAAAGGAAAAGTTTGAAACTCATTTTGATATGTTGGTTTATTTTTGTACAGTGTTATGTAGATTAAACTCAAATGTGACTTTCTATCATTTCACCCCTACTACTAAGTGTGAGCTTCGATTTGTGTAGTACAGAAAATGTGTAGTATTTAAGTAAGCTATCGTATTAGGTGTAGCATTGAAAATAATTATGTCCAGGAATTATTTCTTCTGTTGGATCAATGAACATACAAAAAGCCCAGGCGCTATGCCTGCAGTTTCATCAGCTTAATGATTCTTGAATTTACTTCCACTAGAGAGTCTTCAGAACCAAATTGTCACCATTTTTGAGACCTAAAGGAAGACCTTTTTGATCAATGTTGGTATCTTCTGGGCAATTGGGGCTAGAGTCACTCAGGTATTTAAGCATCTACAGATGCAGACAAGCTCTTCGTGGGATTCACAGAAGTGACTTCTCATGGTTTTCAATGGGAGTTAGGTGTCCAATTCACTTAGGCACCTTTCAGCATTTAAGTGCCTAAATACCTTCAAGGATCTGGCCTTTGGTCTCTGAGTTGTAATCCACTAGTTTCTGTTTATTTAAGGGGAAGTTTATTGGCTAGTGTGGAGGGGTGGCTAATTTATATACCTTGTTTTGAGGAAACACTGGTTACTTTTACTGTGATACTATAGTAACAAGAGCCTAAGAAACATACAAACTGGTTGAACAGTTTTTATGAAAATAGCATTTTGATGAAGAATAAGAACCACATTTCATGACATTTAATTGTTCAACGTTCCCTTCTTTTTCCAACCAGTTCTCAATCACAATGTATATTGGTGCCCTACATAATTACCTCTGTATTTATTATTTTCGAAAGGGGAAAGCTATGTCTGTTCATCTGACAACTTCTTCAAGAAAGTGGAGTATACCAAGAATGTCAATCCCAACTGGTCTGTCAATGTGAAGACATCGGCCAACCTGAAAGCACCTCAGTCTCTGGCCAGCAGCAACAGTGCCCAAGCAAGGGAGAACAAGGATTTTGTGCGTCCCAAACTGGTGACCATCATCCGCAGTGGGGTGAAACCCCGAAAGGCAGTCCGCGTGCTCCTGAACAAGAAGACGGCACATTCGTTCGAGCAAGTTCTCACTGACATCACTGAAGCTATAAAACTGGAGACGGGAGTGGTCAAAAAGCTGTACACTCTGGATGGGAAACAGGTAGGGGATTTGCAAATTTCTTTTCCCTCCCCTCGACTCTGTTTCTCTTATATTTCAGCACTGCTGACTAAGTGAACAATTACTGAAGCCTAAAATTAACCTGAGAAAGTCATCACCATCTGTTCTTCTGGAAGTCAGACTTCTCATGCCAGTGGTTATGTTACTAAATTGTCAGTGGTATTAATATCCGGCAAAGAATGCAGCCAACCGTTTGAATGAAACAGATGTACTACCCCAGTGTCTGAGCACCAGAGAGCTGTGTATAGTCTCCAGAAAGTTTCCCTAAATATATAAATAATATGAGCAGGTTGTACAGTAGGTTTATTTTTTGTTAGGTAACCGCAGCAGCTGCTCTCAAGGACTCACTACAAGTAGTAGAGTGAATGTATAGTTTTACTACTTTGTTTTCAGATGAGCACTAGTCAGGGTAAGTGAATTGGTGAGTAAGACACTCATCTGGCAAACTCTGAAGCCAGTGTGGAAATTTACAGGACATGTGATACCTTCATGGGTAAAAGTATAAATAGTTGAGATACAGTAGGGAATTTCATGAGTCACTGTAAATGTGTCTTAGCTCTAAATGTTCATTTTATGCAAGCACATTTTTAAAAGCTCCTCTCATTGCTGTGTTGTGTCTAACAAACCATTTAATAAGGTTTTTCTATTGCTGTAGCTATGGAATGTGTGCTATACAGCTTGGTGTGCTGGGACAGAAAGATGTGTCATCTAGGACATCTCTTTGGTTAAAGTCAAAGATACCAGTGGCTCTTGCAACGGGGGGATTTTTATTTTTTCACTGTTTCTATTTTCTCACTTTTCTTATTAGGGCAGTCATGCCAGTTATGCCACCTCCACTGATACTGTACTAGACACTCTCTTTTGTTGTGGGGATTGATATTATAGATATAGAATGACTAATTACATGATCCATTTTCTGCATAAGATATTAGTTTACATACTGGCTTTTGAAACCTAAACTAGAAGGTAGATAATCTACTCAAGTAGTATACATATATTAATGAAAGAAAAGGTCAATTCTTCAAGCAAAGAACGTTATATTTGTCCATAATGTATGTTAGTTCATATCTCTTTCTTGGGTGTAAAATGTAGAGTATCATGGGCTACGTCTACACTGAAAAGCTATTTTGGGATACCGGAAGTATCCCAAAATAGCCATTCCTCATCTTTTGAGCAAGCCAATTATTTCGAAATAGAATGGGCTTGCTATTCCAACATCCCTGTAAACCTCGTTCCATGAGGAGTAAGGGACGTTTTGGAATAGCTCTCTATTTCAAAATTAACTCAAAATAAGCTACACAATCATAATTGAAGGGGTTTGAAATCTGTGAGACTTGCAAACACTTACTCACAGAGTATTCCTTACGCACTTGAGCAGTACTATTGAGTTCAATGCAGTCAGGCATGTGGGGCAGTGTTTTAGGCTGGACGCTAACTTGCCTTAGTTGTCTTCAGTTCTTATTCCCACCAGGAGCTTTGAAAGTGCTTCTGGCTGCTGTGTTATGACTAACAAGTCCTGCTGCTCTTTGGAACCCCCTGTGAGAATGTATGCTGTGTAACCTGCAGCACTGGGGTTGTTGCTATACATTGGACCATTGATGTGAATAAGGGCTTGTAGGATTAGACCCTATGTCATTTTATATTTTTCTGTAGCAGATGCCAATGTCCTTACCTGTCAAAATATACCCATGCTGTTGAATTCGGTACTAAAAAGTGACCACAAATTCTTAGTGCCAGAATCGATAACTTTTCCCACAATGAGTGGTACCTTTATCCACCATTGGCTTCAATGGGACTACTGGAGAGTAAAGTTTTACTTCATGTGACTAAAAGTATCACAATCTGGCCCTCAAAATTTACTCATTCCTTGTTCTAGTAAGCTCTCAAGGAGTGACTAAGGATTTAAGGATTTCTCCAGATGTACTCTCCATTTTACTAGTTAACTGAGAAAAGATGAATTTCTCTCACACATCAGTTCCATTATTTATGAAGGGACATGTCATGATGTATTTTTGAAGAGCTAAAAAGAAAAATGAGATAATTTACAATCTTGACAATGATAATGTAATATCTAAAGCTGGAAATTACAGAATTTAATAATAGAATTGCCCGCACCCCACGGCAAATTTGGCCCAGTATGTTTTGGTTTCATTTGAATTTTTTTTTTCAGTGTTTGCATTTTGCTCTGTTAAACTGATGTTTCTCACATAATTTTTCTCCCACTGTTGCTAACAAGATCTAGATTTTTCTGCAGTGGGTGCAATCGTTAGTTGCTATGAGCCACTCACTCATAGTGCACCATCAATTCTGACTTTTCCACCAGTCATTAAAAAGAAGTCTTTGAAGGCATAGTTCTGACAAACTGCGGTTTATTTCTGAAAAAATATATGCATGCAAAATCCCAAGCTGCTCAAAGCTGAAATGTTGACAAGACTCTTGACAGACTCACCATTGAAGTGCCATCACAGCAGTGTTAATTCTACTGTTGTGAACTGATAGAATTCACAAAGGCAGTGTACAAAGGGAAATCATCCGTATTGAGTCCATAGGCTGCAATTTAATGAGCAGAAATGATTATTTGTTTTATGGATAGGCATTTCTATGGCATTCATCAGCAATCATCAGCGTGCTTTAGAAATGTAGGCATTAGTGGTGAAGGTGCAGTGGTATACAAATAATTACATGTCTAAGCACAGCAACCCTGCTGCAGATGGGATGATAGAATGTTAATCTGGAGCAGGATGCTGCGTGTGTGAATAAATATCATATCCATCGAGTTTAAGGCCAGAAGGGACCACTAGATCATCTAGTCTGACCAGGGCTGAGGCAGAAATACTGGGCACTTGGGAAAGGTGGGTGAGTTAGTTTCAGGACTTCCCAGAAGGGGCGGGGCCTTGGGAGGAAGAATTGGGCTGGGAGCTAGCCTCCCCACACCAGCCCTTCTGCGCTCCCTGGACTGCATGGCTGGGGACTCTGACAGTGCTGCTCTAGCAGCAGTGGCAGCTGGGAGCTCCGGGCTCTTTTAAATCGCTGGGTCCCTGGGCAGCTGACTCCCCCATTGGCAGCTCTGAATCAGACTACCTGTATATCACAGGCCACCAGCCAGCACCCACAGGCTGAATCCAACAATGGAAATGAGACCCAAGGAAATGTGGCCTGCAGGACTCTAGACTACTATGTGCCACAGGCAGAGAGTAGATGGGATAGAGGTGCATCAGTGTGCCAGAATATCAGTGGAACTAACTATTTTTTGTTTAAAAAATAAAATAAAATAGAGTTTTGTCATTGCCCTTTGTATCTTGCATTTTCCATGTAGGAGTATTATGATTTTTCTTGAAACTGTTAAATTGCATCTTGTGTTTGTTAAAAATAAATAAGCTTCTTAACATAGTCTAGCACACATTTCTCTTGCTCCATTCTAATGCTCCATTTAACTGTATTCACAGAGTGCCTCTGCTGAGAGCACATTACCGCCTCTTGACAGAAGCCCCATAACTCTGAAGGAAAGGAACTTCAAAGGGTCTACTGTACAAGAGCCAACACAGTGAGAATCAAAGCAATAGGAGTTTACCTCCTACCCTCTCACAGCCATATAAGAAATGGTAAAGGACAAAGAAGATAGAGTGGGATAACACACTTATAGGTAGTGGGCCAAATTCAGCTCTGTTATGTGGAAGCAACAAATTCCACCTGAGTCTGTATAACTGAGAGCAGAATTTGATGTAAGCCACAGAGTACATTACAAATTGGTTGTCCTGGAAAATTAATTATTTACTACTACTACTACTTATTTATTTATTTATGTATTTACTTATTTACACAGTAGTATCCAGTGTCTTATATTAGGATTGGGTCCCAATAAAGGCCAGGCACTGTGTGCTCTGTAAGAGACAGCTCCTGCCATATGTAGTTCAAAATCTAATTTAAAAGAAAACAGAATAGGAACAGTAGATGAGGTTGTAATTTTAAAACAGCCATGATGCTTAGAACATCAGATTTTGCAACTCTTACCCACACTGACTGTCTCATTTGTGCCTTTTTTCTCTCACTGCCCCACCTAACTTCTGATGTACCTAAGATTTTCATTATTGCCATAAAAGAGGTTATTCTCTTCTCCAGTTGTTGGTCTAGTATTGATAGCCCATGACTTCCACCCTTTGCTTTCCACTAGACTAGACATGACGTGCAGAGTAAGGATGTTAAATATCGGTTAACTGACTAGTCAAGTAGTTGATGGAATTTCCATCGATTACTCAAATAGTCGATAGACACTTCTCATTCCTCCTCATTCCGCCTCCTCATTTCCGCTGGGGTTCTTGTACATTTCAAAGGAGGAATGTGGAACTCTGCGTGCTGCCCGGTGCCAGCGGGAAGTCCTGCTGACTCTGGGCTGCATGTGGTGCACCAGCTTTGAAATGTACAAGAGTCCCCCGCTGACCCCGTGCTCTATGCTGCACTGTGGATTTGAAATGCCGCATGAAACCAGGGTCAGCTGGGGACTCCCCAGCTGACTCTGGGTTCTGCACAGCATTTCCCCAGAACACAGGGAATCCCCAGCTGACCTTGGGGTCCACAGGACCACTTTGAAACATTTCCTCAGCATTTCAAAGGGGCAGTGCCACACAAGGTGTCGAGGTCTCAGTCAAGATGGGGCTCTAGTTATGCTAGGCACTGCACAGACACAACACAAAAGACCGTTTCTGCCTCAAAGAGCAGAAATAAATGCTATAATACTACTATGAAAGACAGATTTAATAGATGGTGTTTGGTAGGTGGATTTTTCCCATATATCCTGGATTCTTCTGTAATAATAAAGTCATGTCAGGTTAATTGAATACTTTCCTAGCCATATAAAAACATATTGCTCTGTTCTTTGGATTTAATAGTTTCAAATATATAGGGCAAAGAGATATCTATGCACTATTCAAGGACTTTTATCTACAGGAGACACTCCTAAAGTGCGCCTGTCCCTTGCAAGTGTT